TTGTTAGTAAATATTTCCTTTTTTTAAATAAAAACTATTTTATTTAAAAAATTTTCATTATAAATCTAGAGATGATTCTATTAAGCCATTGTATTTCTGTAAACCTTATCCTCTTCAATAAAAAAGATAGCTAACTTTTACAAAGTGGATTAGTCAATGTTCTAACTAGAAAGCCCAAAACGTTATCAGAAGTTATTTCTAAATAAGATCCTCAAAGTGTTAATCCACTAGGTCAAACAACCAAACAAATTGTATACAGCTATTGATCCATTCACAGGGGTTTTAAGGTGAGTCAGAAGAAGGTATTAACCTCTAGTTAAAACTAAAAATGTTTTATAGCTTAGTTTTCTCAAAAAGCTATAAAGTCTTAGGTCACCTTCAGGGTACCCATGTTTGATTTGTTTGTTTATTTATATATTTATTTTTTGTTCTTGAAATGAGGAAGAAAAAAATATTATAATTTATTTATAAATATTTTTTTTATGAACTTGTTTTCTATTTAAACTTATTAACTTACCTTTAGTAAGTTAAGTAATATACTAGAAACGATAAGATATAGATAAGAATAGATGCATAATTTTATTTAGTAAGATTTTTGTTATACTTCCATTACAAATATACTTTTTGTATAGAAAAGATTGTAAAGATTGCAATATACATAGATAATAATTTTGTACCTTATCAAGTTGAAGATAAAATTCTGAGTTCCGAAAAAATTGAGCTAATATGGGTTGCACATGTTATCTTTAAAGATAGTTATTTATTAGGATGTATATACAGACCAAATGAAATAGTTGATATGGAAATCTTTAATAAGATATTTGAAACTGCAAGATCCTACATTGATAAACGCAATTTCAAGGATATTAAAAATTTCTTTTCCAACATTTCAATTATTAAAAAATGAATGCTGTAACACTCTTGAATTATTATTTACAACACAAGAGAATAGATTATTCCAAATTGAATCACATCCAGTTCTACGAAATATTGAAAGATTTAGTTCTAAGTTACAAAATTTTGTTAGATCAGAAAAGTTTTATAAATGAGGAAGTAATTGTAAGAGATTATAGGAAAACAAACTTTGATTCAATTAGTAGGTTGTTTTCAAATGTGGATTGGTTAATGTGTTTTAATGGCAAATCAGTCAAGAAAATGTATAATATATTTATATTTTACATGAATGCGACATATAAACTTTACACTCCAATAAAAAATTACATATTAATAAAAAAAAGATTATATTTTGTTATAAAAACCAAGAAAAGCTAGACAAAATTATGAAAAAAATCTAGAGGTATTGGCTAAGAAAAGTCTAAAGTTAATTTGCAAACATGTCAAAAGCCAATAACAGATCAATAACTCGATTAAAGCATTATATAATGAAAATGGATTAGTGACAAATGACCCAAATCAGATAGTAAATTTAATAAATAACAAGTTCCAAGATATATTTGTCTGTGAGAATGATTTTAACTTGCCAGCATTTGCGTCTAGAATTAATAAAAATTTGTATTTTGATATAATCTCATACAAAGATATTCTCAATAGATTAGAACAATTAAATACAGAGAAGTCATGTGGAGAAGATCTTAATAAACCTTTAATCTTAAAATATTATAAAACAAAATAATAGTATACAATATATACTTAATTAAGCAAAAGTTTAAAATCACGTGAAAATATGATTGTGGTTTTCTGTAAGTTTTTAAAACAAATGGTTTCATACTAAATTAAAAAAGATTTTGGTGTAGTATTTACCTTTGACTTGAAATGGAAAAATCAAACTCTATGTGCAAGTTAAGCAAAGAAAGTTTTGGGTATGTTGAGGAATACATTTTTAAGTTTAAATAGTGAATTATTAAAAATTATAAACACAACTTTTGTAAGACTTTTAATTGAAATTGCTATCTGTGTGGTCTCCGTGTTTTAAAAATGAAATTAATCTCTTAGAAAAGGTACAGCATCGTGCTACAAGAATAATATTGCCACTAAAAAAACTATGTTAAGAGAAAAGATTAGATAAAATGGGTACTTTATTTGTAAGACGGATTTGGAGTGACTTGATTCAAATGTACGAATAATTCAATAGAATTGAAAAAGTAAATTTGATTAATGAAATTTCGTCAAAAAGTTATCAATCATCAAGAGGTCATTAAATGAAATATAATTGCAAAATAACTAGTTTTTAGCCTTTGCATTATTTTTTAACAAACAGGGCAACTTTTTACTGGATTCGACTACTTACTAATGTCTTTAATGCTATTTCTGTAAACTCTTTTAAAGCTAAGTTTGACATATGTATTTTAAATAATGTACCTATGCTGAATAATGATATAGCTATCTTTGTGTACTTGGTACTCACCAAGTTATCGATCACAGCTTAAATATATTTCACTATTATTCAAGTATTATAAGTAAAGCTCCAAAAACTTTTACCAAAACTAGTGATCCACTGAAACAAAAATCGATAAAAATAACTGGAAATTAACAAAAACATATTATAAAACAAAAAAATAGTATACATTATAAAACCAAAATCGCATTTTCATGTTTTTAAAATAAAAATTTGTTTCATACCAAATTAATAAAAAGTATAAAAACCGAAATTTTAGTTTTAAACTTCAAACTTTGGTTTAAATTAAAATTTTGGCAGAAACCAAAACCAAAACAGAATTTTGGTCTATCACTACTAAAAACAACATCTTTTTGGAAAATGTTTTAAAATGTTAAAGCTAATATTAATTATTTTACGCCCTGCAATTTACAACCTTACAAAACTTGGCAATAGTTTCTAAATTATTGAAATGAAATCATTTTTCAATCCTACATAACACATAGAAAAATGTGTATTGAGAAAGACTTGCATTATGTAAGTTTTACTGTTACAGTTTTTGTTTCAATATACAATTTTAACATGTGTTTGTTAAACCACAAATTCAAATTGTATATACTATGCAAAAATAAAGTTTTTAAAATAAATTATTAATTAAAAAAGTAATTAATAAAAAAAATGAATGTATATATGTATCAAGCTGCCTTGTACAGGAATGAAAAATATTCTGAATTATACCTTAGAGAAATAAATGACATTGAAACTTTAATCTTTACTAATTTTTTTATATTAGCTTTTCATTAAAGTAACAATAGGGAGGAATAAGAGGTAGGTAATAGGTAGGTAATAGGTAGAGTTGAAGTAGAGAATGGAATAAATAAGGCAAATAAGATCTTTATCTTAGACAGGCAGAAAAATTTGTTTTTACACGCACATACTATATTAGAGTTTAGAAAAACATATCAATATTTGATGCTTGCTTGCCATGTTGTTAAATTTTCTATTAATAGATTTATCAGTTATAAAAAGTATACTTTGGTTTACTGTAGCTTAAATATATTTTATATTGTTGCTAATTTGATGAGTTACTGATACAATATTTGCAGTTGGATTCATATGAATAAGATAGTAGTAGCACTGAATAACCTGTCAGAAAGTGCTTGTATCCATTGATTATAACTCACAAAGACCACCACAATACTTTTTTTCACTCTTCACTGATGTTACTAGAGTAAAGTTTACTTTTCAGCATTTATGTGAATCAGTATTATATAAACAACATATTCAATTCTTGGAATTAGGAAAATTGAGGTCAGCAATAATTTGCCGATCAATCTTTTAGAGGTGGATACAAGGTCGACAAAGAAAATTTCATACAAAGGTCTTACAATAAAACATCGAAACAAGGTCGGCGATTATTTTCCGACCTTAAACACTTTAAGGTCGACAGTCAGGTCAGACCCTAATTCTGATGGTTGCATATTAGAGTATAAATTTAGTGAAATGGATAACCTTTTTTGAAAAGTTTTATACATGTTTTTAATATAATTTATTTTCAGAGTTGTTAACAAGGCCAAAAGTAATAAGTCCGAGGCCAAGAGTTTTAAGGTCAAGGCCAAGAATAAGAGTTTCAAGGCCAAGGTCTATGCAAACATTTTTAAGACTAAAGACTTACATTTTTGTCTTACATTATGGCCAATTATTAACAAAACTGTAGGTAATTGCTGTGACAATAAAACCACATGTTGCTGTGACAATAAAACCACATAAAAATAAACCAAAATATATATAAAAATAAAGAATGAAAACTTTTTAATTCTTTAATTTCATGTATATATTTTTTGGAAGGTCAAAACAATCAAGGCCAAGGCCAAAATTATCAAGGCTAAGACCGACAGTTTCAAGGTCAATATTTTTTAATTTCAAGGCCAAGGCCTTAATTTTTGGCCTTGAAGCAAAGCTGAGGCCAAGGCCAAGGCCAATGACTTACAACTCTGTTTATTTTGACCTATTTCAGAAATTGCAAAAAAAAAATTCATTCAAAGATAACTACGTTAAGATACTAATCATTAAAGCGGTGATCGTTGATAAAAAACCTTTCTTACAATTTCTTAAAACAAAGGAACAATTTTAAAATATAATTTTTAAATTTAAAACATTTAACTTTAAAACGAACTTTATTTTAAGTATTTAAAATGTAAAATTCTAATATTCTAACAAAAATAATTAGCAAAAATAATATTCTGTAAACTTTGCAAAACTGTATTGGCTTTTTAAAATAATATTACTAAATTTAATCAATTGTTGTTTTTGAATGAAAATTTATTGGTTAACGTATAAACTTAAAACAAGGTATTTTTAAACAAGGATACTTGACTAATAACAAAACATTTAAAAAATTGAAATTAAAAATTACTTTGCAAACGAACAAAATTAGTTCTAGACTGAGATTTCAAATGTAAATCCGCAAAGCCATTTATAGCATAGAATACTTGAGATTTGGCAAAGCTTCTTTTCTATCCTAGTCACAGTAACTGCAACATTCTGCAATTCGAATTTCAAAAAAAAAAAAAAAACTAAAATCGACCTACCCTAATATAAAATGAAGAAACTTACTTTAAAATTTTTTAAATAAATTTATATAAAACTATATGATTGCATTTACCTTCTCTCAAAATTGTCATCCAATCATATCTTTGTTTATCATCTCTTGCTTTTATATATAAAATATAATTTTCATATTCAATCTGTAATTAACAAAAATAAAATAAACAAAGAAATTGAAAGTAGATGAAAGTCTAAAAAAGAAAAAAAACTAACCTGAAAACAAAAGTTTTTTTTGAGAGCATTATCATCTACTCGTTCAATTGCTTTTATTTTCCAAAGCTCAAGAGAACCTTTCTCTCTCCCTCTTGACTTTAAAATAAACAATAAAATACGAAAATTAAAAACCCTTGATGATAATTTGAAAAATGTTTAGAAACTGAACCAAATTTTTTATCAAATGTTTTACTGCAGCAATTTTTATGAATGAACTTTTATGAATGATTTTTATGAATGAACTTTAATGAATGATTTTTATGAATGAACTTTAATGAATGATTTTTATGAATGAACTTTAATGAATGATTTTTATGAATGAACTTTAATGAATGATTTTTATGAATGAACTTTAATGAATGATTTTTATGAATGAACTTTAATGAATGATTTTTATGAATGAACTTTAATGAATGATTTTTATGAATGAACTTTAATGAATGATTTTTATGAATGAACTTTAATGAATGATTTTTATGAATGAACTTTAATGAATGATTTTTATGAATGAACTTTAATGAATGATTTTTATGAATGAACTTTTATGAATGACCTGATAAGAGTAAAAATCACATAAATCACAGAAAATATACAATAAAAAATATAAAATAAAAAATACTTAAAAGCTACAGAAAAATCAAGATAAATCTACCTATTTAGAAAAATTTAGTTTTTTTTAATCAAACTTATTTTCAAAAAAATATTTAACAGCGCAAAAAGCAATCAAATTGATTAATCAATATTATTTAAAAAATTTCCAGAAAATAGTTGTAGAAAAAATGATATAATTGTTGGAAGTGAGAAAAAAATTATAAGGTTTTAAAGTAGTCTATTTTGAACATTTGCAAATCGAGGGGGGCAACTGTGTTATGTTTATAGGGTTTTATTTCTGAAATTATATAATATATTATGTATATTTTATATAATTTCAGAAATATAATTTTATATTTATAAATATTTTTTATAAATTCTTTAAATAAATAAAAAAATATCAACTTTTTAAAGAAATGATTTTTTTTTATTTAACTTATTTTTTATTTTTTTAATTAATTGTTTATGATTTATTGATTTAATTGTTTTATGATTTATTGATTTAATTGTTTATGATTTATTGATTTAATTGTTTTATGATTTATTGATTTAATTGTTTATGATTTATTGATTTAATTGTTTTTTAATTGTTTTATGATTTATTGATTTAATTGTTTATGATTTATTGATTTAATTGTTTTATGATTTATTGATTTAATTGTTTATGATTTATTGATTTAATTGTTTATGATTTATTGATTTAATTGTTATGATTTATTGATTTAATTGTTTATGATTTATTGATTTAATCGTTTATGATTTATTGATTTAATTGTTTTTGTTATTGGGACAAATTGTTAAGAATCTTTTTTTAACATTTAAATATGCGCATTTATTAAACAAAGTTGTATAATAAATGTGTTGTTTAAGTTGTTACTTTATTTAAAAGGGTTTCGCATAATATTATATCATAAAAACATTAGTAAAGATAAACAATTTAAAATTATTTATTCCAAACATAATTTAAATAAATTTATTGTTATAGTTTATTATTTATTTGAGTTAAGTTTAAATGTTATTTTTTTGATTTTAGTTTTAGTTAAATTATTATTACTTTATTTTTTATCATTTTTTTTTATTACAAAGATTTATTTGGTTTCTGTAGGATAATTTTTTTTTAATTTTTTTAGAGTTTTTAAGTTTCTTTAGAATTTTTTAAATGTATACAAATTTTCAAAATATCTTAACAGCTGTGGTCAAGTTTTCAAAATCAAATAATATGTAGTCATATTATAACATGAAACTGCATGACTTCCTGACCAAGCCTGATTTTTGTGATTTAATAAAAACAAAAACTAGCTTGAATTTTTTTTTGATAAAAAAATAAACATAAAGTTTGTATGTATATAAAAAAGTAAAACAAAAAGTCATTGTAAAAAAGTAGTTGCACATTAAAAAAAAAAAAAAGAGTATCAGACAATTTATTTAAAGTGAACATTTTTTTCATGTTAATTAAAAATGTGGTAAATGTGTTTTGAAACATTCACTTCTTAAGTAAAAAGTTATGAGTTTAATCCCCACAAAGTCCTTGGCAGTACCATTAAAGCAAATATTATATTTGAGAAATAAGATAAGTGCAGGTTATTCCTGCTAAAGCGTGCACACACACACAAGCCTTGTTAACACAGCTTTAATATTTACATAGTTAAAATTTAAATTGTTAAAATGTCATTAGCAGGCTTGGACCGGGAATGGCATGAAATCAATTTTTTTTTTTTGACAACTTGAACATGACTGTTTAGATGTTTTGATGATTTAAACATTTCAAAAATGTGAAGAAAAAGAAACTTATTTTTTGATATGTTTTATTAAAAGATCCCTAAGTGCTGAAACAAGTTGTATTTATATTAAAGAAAATGTTTAAACGTTTGGACCAAACTTTTTTGATTTAAACTAAATAATAAATGTATACCAATAAAATTAAAATTGTCGTTTTAGTCGAATCTTGTCTTCTCTATTTTTTTTTTTGTCTGTATAAAGTTATCGGCAATCTACAGACTTGATGATTTTTTTTTTTAGTTTTTTAATTTTAATTCACCTCCTCAAGGCTGAGAAGGCCACTACAGACGAGGAGGCTACTTATTTGTGGTTATAACCCTCTCTCAACTCTATAACTCCGAAACACGAACCTTGACTAATAAGGCCGCTGCGCGGAGAAACGAGTTGAGCGCAGTACTACCAGGGACGTGGTGGGGATCGAACTCAGAACCACTCGTTTATGAAGCGAGCGCTCTACCACTACACCACTACCGCATTTATTTCATGTGTGTTTAATTCATAACAGCTTCCGTATATGATGCCATAGTAAAAATTCTTTTTTTTTCAAGATATCATATTTATTTTTCTGCCACCAAATCATGTTAATTTTTATAACTTTTTACTAAACCCCAAAATAATTTTGTGATACAATTAAAAATGAAGTAATATATATTGTTTTGATATAACTTGTTTTTAACAATTGTTAAAAATTTTAAGTAAAAATCTTTATCAAGATTTTTATATAAAAATATGTAAAAATATTTTATATCAAATTTATTTTGTAAAATATTTGTCTTTTATATACTTGAAGTTTTCAAAAGTGACAAAATTGCAACGATTTGGATGAAAATAGAAAAGTGGTGTAGAATAACACATTTTTTCAAAATTGAGTTTTTAATGATGAAACTGTTCATTTCAAAACTTGTATTTGTCAATTTTGGTAGTTTTTTAACTTAGAATGTTAAGAGACAGGTTTAATTATTTAAAGGTTTAAAAATATGATATGAATTAATAATTTATAAAAATTATTGCATTAATTAATAGTAAGCAGCAAACTAAATTAGAGTTAAAACAAATATTTGTACTAAAATATACAAAAGTTATAATATGAATATAAAATGAAGAATCACATTAAACCATATAACCTAAATATATATTTATATAAAACAAACAACTCTACTAAACTATATAAACTAAATATAAACTGCATCAAACGGTCCTGATTTTTACTCTGGCTTCAAACTCTAATAATCATAAAATATCTATAATTGTATTATAATTTTGGCTGGCTTCTAAAACAAAATAAGTATAAAGCAAGCAAAAAATTTATTTAGTAATAAAACGGATATACTGTTTCCATTTTCTTCTTTTAATTACTTGCTATAAAATTTAACATCTGATCAAAATAGTACATTAATACTTTATCTAATATAATCAATCACTACTTTTCTCTTAGCCATATACAGCTAAATATGCTCTGTTAGTTACTAGACTTATTTGTTTTAGTTGCAAAATTTTTATAGAGATAACAATTTGTCAAATATCCATACTCTCAATTCTTTAATACAAGGGGGACAGGATGTTTATTAATTTTTAGAAACTTTTTCAACCCACCCTAAGCTTATTAAGACCCCACCCCCTTCCGTTTAATAATTTTTACTTTCCATCAACAAAAAAAAACTATATATCAAAACTAAAAAAAAATGCAGTAAAAATTGGTCTTAAAAATTAGAAAATAACTTCTTCAGTCACCAATAAATACAAAAACTTTCAGTGTAAACAGGTTTTAAAAATCTTTGAGCTAGTAAATCTTAATTTGTCGAAAATGAGCTTTTGTTTAATTTCTCACCGAAGCATAAAACTTATACCAGCATATCAAATCCAATTAAAATTATCGTAAAAAAAGCTGCAAGTAAATGATCACAAAATACACAAAAGTAGTTTTATGTGTATTTTGTAAAAAATATAAGCTTGGATTAATAAATAGGAACTATTTAAAAAAAAAATTCTTATATAGTAACATGGTGTCAGATTTTCTTGATTTGACAGATATAAATGTAGATTAGAAGAAAAAAAATCCCACCCCTCCTTTAATTAACTCTCCCATCAAAAAAATAATTATACTTAAACTTTTAATAGTACGCTAAAAGAAACAATTGATTACACCATTTTGGTAGAAAAAAGCCTGAGATAAACGGTCTATATAAATTAAGAAAAAAAAAATATTATTACTTAAAAAAAATTTATAAGATTCAGAATATATAATAAAGGCAACTTTTTACGTATAAGTTCACCATAAAAATCTTAATTTTATCTAGCTCTCACATAAAACAAGAGGGCAATAGTCAATTTAAATATAATATTCTATAAAAAGGAAATATAACATTCTATAATACTGGTATAAAAATCATATGTTTAACTTTAAAATCATCCTGATGATTGTTAAAAACAAGTTATACTAATAAAATCTAAAAATGAATTATTCAACTTTATTTTTACTTGTATCACAAATATTTTTTTGGATTTAGTAAAAAACTAAACAAATATTTGACTTGATGATTGTAGGAGAAAAAATACTTAATAAATAAGAATTTTTGGAATGAAGAGTAACACGAAAATGAACTTTAATAGATGGCACAAGAGATGCTAGCTCTTTAGAGCAGTGCCCATTATAGTATTTGTAGAAAAGAGAAAGAGAAACAATATTACGATGATGTGATAATAGTTGGAGGTTGGCTGCAAGAGCA